GCTGGATGGCCATCTGTCAGGGGTGATTTGAATGCAATATTCCTGATTCTTGGCAGGGGGTTGGACTGGATGGCCCATGAGGTCTCTTCCAACTCTTTGATTCTATGATTCTATGATTCTAAAGGTCACAGGTTTGAATCCAGGGAGCGGCATGAGCTCCTGCTGTTAGCCCCAGCTTCTGCCAACCTAGTAGTTTGAAAACATGCAAATGTGAGATCAATATGTACCGCTCCGGCGGGAAGGTAACAGTGCTCCATGCAGTCATACTGGCCACATGACTTTGGAGGTGTCTATGAACAATGCTGGCTCTTCAGCTTATTTATTTATTTACTTACTTGCAGTATTTATATTCTGCCCTTCTCATCCTGCAGGGGACTCAGGGCAGATTACAATGTACACATATACATGGCAAACATTCAATGCCATAGATGCACATCATATATAGACAGACACAGAGGCAATTTAATATTCCAGTTTTTCTTGAGGGTATTCTGGCCACCAGGGGAGCTGTTCCTTCACCGACCATTTGTGACACTGATGAAGTACTTTCTCATTCTTTGCATGCTTGCTTGAGATTTTTATGGCCTCGTAAATAAGTTAAATTTGCCTCCCCACATAAGCGGTACTTAAATTTCCTACTTGACAGATGCAACTGTCTTTCGGGCTGCAAAGGTCAACAGCAAGCAACACAAAATTGGTTGGAAGCTCACTCTGATCCAGGCTGGCTTCGAACTCATGACCTTCAAACTCAGTAGTGATCTTAATGCAGCTGACTCTCAGGTAGCTGTGCCACAGTCCTGGTGCTTAGAAATGGAGATGAGCACCAACCCCCAGAGTTGAATACAACTGGACTTAATGTCAGGGAAAATCTTTATCTAGAAACCACATAGGCCAACTAGTCCAACCCCCTTTCATGTAGGAAAAGCATAATCAAGGCACCCCTGACAGATGGCCATCCAGCCTCTGTTTCAAAGTTGCCCAAGAAGGAGCTTCCACCACTCTCTGAAGCAGAGAGTTCCACTGCTGAACAGCTCTTCTTACATTCAGGAAATTCCCCCTGATGTTCAAATGCATTCTCCTTTCCTGTCATTTGAACCCACTGCTTTGAGTCCTAATCTCCAGGGCAGCAGAAAACGAGCCTGCTCCCTCTTCAAATGTATCCAGAGATGGACGATGAAGGTCTGGAAACCAAGATCTGGAAACAATGGAATAACACTGCAACAAGTTCTGGGCATCCTGATTTACGAAGGATATTGACTAACTAGAACATGTTCAGAGAAGGGCAGCCAAAATGATAAAATATTTTGGTGTCAAGCTTTATGGGAAGTATCTGGGTATGTTTAGCTTTAGAAGGCTAAGGGTTGCCATGTTGAATCATTTGAAACATTGAGGACAGGGCAAGCTTGTTTCCTTCTCTAGGACACAGAGCAATGGATTCAAATTGCAGGTAAAGAGATGCCATCAAAACATATTTTTTTGTCATGTCAGGAGCAACTTGAGAAACTGCTTCTGGTGTGAGATAATTGGCCGTCTGCAAGGACGTTGCCCAGGGGACGCTCGGATGTTTTGATGTTTTGGTCTATTTATTTATTTATTTACAGCTTTTATATTCCACCCTTCTCACCCCACAGGGGACTCAGGGCGGATTACAGTGTACACATATATGGCAAACATTCAATGCCAATTTTTGACATACAAACATATACAGACATAGACAGAGGCTATTTAACTTTTTCTGACCGCCAGGGGAGCTGTCGCTCTCATCATCCATCTGCGACGCTGATGAAGCACTTCCGCATTCCCCGCATGCTTCCCCGCTGGAATGCTTTGCTGGAGTCTTCTTTATGGCCTCATAAATCGGTTAATTAAGCCTCCCCACACTTTAAGGTGGTACCTTATTTTCCTACTTGACAGATGCAACTGTCTGGCTTCGAACCCGGGCTGGCTTCGAACTCATGACCTTTTGGTCAGAGTGATCTTAATGCAGCTGACACTCAGCCAGCTGCGCCACAATCCCGGTGCCAATCTAAACATTAAGAAGAGAGTATTGATGATAAGAGCTGTTTGACAGTGAAATATATGCCGTGGAGGGTGGCAGTCTCTCCTATCCTGGAGGTCTTTCAGCTGAGGCTAGATGGCTATCTGTCAGGAGGGCTTGGATTGGGCATTCCTGCAGAAAATAATGGGGTTTGATTGGATAGCCCATGTGCTCTCTTCCAACTCTATGAATTTATGGTTCTAAGTTTTATGCTTGGTATGTTTAGCTTGAAGAGAAGAAGATATATGGAAGGTGACATATAGAAGATGGAGAAGTCTTGTTTTCTGCTGATCTGGAGGCTAGAACATGAATGAATGGATTCAAATTACAAAAAAGACATTGAGTCAGCTGCATACTCTGCTTAACAGCAGATCCAGATCTGTTAGCTTGCTATATATCCATGATCTGAACATATTTTATCACACTCCCAGATATACATGTGTTTAGCGCACATAAACACTTGCTGAGTTTTAAACACAGCATCGGAGGATAAGTGCCGTTGCTTCTGACATGACATGTCTGAAAGACTGGAATAATAAAAAGTGGCAATAAACAGGATTATGTATGTGCCGTAAAATGAATGCTGTCGTTTGTTGTCTCTGATGCCTCCTGTTTCTCTTTTTATCCCAAAAGACCAAAGAGGCATTTCTCCCGGCTTCTCCGCAGGGTTGTCAGTTTCTTTTGTTTTCAATGGAAAAATGGTAGTTGCCATTTAAAAGATATTTACTTCAGTTTAATGAGACTCGTGAGCCCGGAAAGATAGATTCAGGCCCCTATAGACAATTGAATGTATTAGTCAGTGTTAGACTAGTCTGAAATGAGGGAAGATAAATTGGCACATTTGGGAGCGAGTGCACTTCGTTTCCTTTTTAATTCATTCAATTTATAACCTTCGTTTCTCCGCAAGTATTCAAAACTATAGGTTAAAATAAAGTCGAGCTAAAACAGGCAACATGATTTAATGGTTTGGGTAACAGACAAGGATTCTGAGAGTCTCTGCTCAGCATGAGAACCTATTGGGTTACCTCCCTGAGTATTTTAGACTGTTTAGTCGATTTTGATCATTTTCACATCTGATACGGACCAACTTGGGATTATTTTAATGGGTCATTCAATATTGTTATGTTTTAACTATGTATGTTTGGTTGCTTTCTTACTTACTTACTTATTTACTTACTTAGACGATCCCTCATTGTCCAAGTAGGATGGTCTTCCAAGATCAGTGTACTGGTGGGTCTGTAGGTGACTGTGGAGCCCTATTCTTGATCTGCATGTACTCCCGCAGTGAGGGCATTGGTTTCCAGGTGGAAGGCGGTCCCAGTTGGGGTTGGCTTGATGTGCCTTCCTCTTGGCATGTTTCTCTCTTTCACCCTGCATTCATGCCTCTTCAAATTCTACAGCACTGCTGGTCACAGCTGACCTCCAGCTGGAGTGCTCAAGGGCCAGGGCTTCCCAGTTCTCAGTGTCTATGCCAGGGTTTTTAAGGTTGGCTTTGAGCCCATCTTTCAATCTCTTTTCCTGTCCACCAGTATTCCATTTTCCATTCTTGAGTTCGGAGTAGAGCAGCTGCTTTGAGAGATGGTGGTCAGGCATCCAGACGACATGGCCAGTCCAGCAGAGTTGATGACAGAGAACCATCGCTTCAATGCTGGTGGTCTTTGCTTCTTCCAGCACATTGACATTTGTCCGCTTGTCTTCCCAAGAGATTTGCAGGGTTTTCTGGAGGCAGTGCTGATGGGATTGTTCCAGGAGTTGCATGTGACGTCTGTAGACAGTCCATGTCTCGCAGGCACACAGCAGGGTTGGGAGGACAATAGCTTTATAAACAAGCACTCTCTGCTTCATTCGGAAAAAAGCTGCGCACACAGAGCTATAGCAGTGTTGTATTTCAGTGTCAATGTTGACTTTTTGTGCCAAGGTAGCGGAAAGGGTCAACATTATCTAATGTTACACCATTAAGCTGTATTTCTGGCATTGGAAAGGGATTGGCTGGTGACTGCTGGAAGAGCAGTTTGGTTTTCTCGATGTTCAATGACAGGCCGAGTTTGACGTATGCTTCTGCGAAGATGTTTAGAGTGACTTGTAGGTTTTCTTCTGAATGTGCACAGATGACATTGTCATCAGCATACTGGAGTTCTATAACAGATGTTGTTGTAACCTTGGTTTTGGCTTTCAGTCTGCTGAGGTTACATAGCTTGCCATCTGACCAATAGATGATTTCCACTCTGGTGGGAAGCTTCCTGTCAACAAGATGAAGTATCATAGTGATGAAGATGGAGAATAAAGTTGGTTCAATAACACATCCCTGTTTGACACCTGATTTCACCTTAAATGAGTCCCTTTGGGAGCCATTGCTGTCCAAAACTGTTGCCATCATGTCATCATCTGGGAAGGAATTCCACTAGAGCATTGCAGCACACCCAAATACCTGGGAGTCACTCTGGACCATGCTCTGACTTACAAGAACCACTGCTTGACTATCAAGCTTCAGTCCTGCCGGCACAGGGGTTTAACCCACTGCACCACCATATATATATATGAGCAAACTACAGACCACTGACTACAATGCAGTCAGAATCTTTCCACGTGCACAATGGAGGACCTTTTTACAGTGACACTGTAGCAGTCGCAGTGGCCAGCTTGTGATCAAAGAAAATTTAGCATCATGCTAAATTGTTTGTGGTTTTTCTATACATTATAACTGCATTCTCAATTTGCTTCTGACATGATAAACAAACAAACTATGGTTGTAAACCACCTTGAGTCCTTGGAGAAAGGCAATAAAGAAATGTCCCAAACAAATAAATACATATTTGGAGCCAAGAGAGCAGTTTCTCGAAGCTCAGCTCTTGCACCTCTCCTCTCCTAGACCTGGGCAACTGCTCAGCAATTTCCCCCCATCAGCCTTCTCCTTTTTCCTCTTCTCTTCCTCCTCCTCCTCTTCTTCTTCCTCCTCCTGGTCCTTTTGCAGAGATGCTGTGAGAGATGCAAGCGAAGATGCAAGGCTGGCTTTCTCCCTCCCGCAGTCTCTAAAGGCAACATTGGAAAAAGCAAGGAGAAAGGAGGAGGGCATTGCAGGTTCTTAAAGTCTGCAGGGAGGAAGAAAAAGGGCTGCTCTTTTGCTGTCAATCCAGCTTCTCCCGCCTCCTCCCATCTCACTCCTGGCATCCCAGCAAACGCCTGCAGGCTTCCGGCTCCCACTGTCTCCCAGCCAGGTGTAGATGCTCATGCAGCCACCAAGGTAAGCTGGGATGGACAGGAAAGAGGTAAGGGAAGGGGGAGGAGGCAGTGGGATGAGGATTTGGGGCTCTGTGGGTGGACTACAAGCCATTATGTGCTTTCCGCACCTTCCTCAGTTGCATCTCCTGTTTCTCATCAGTTATCCCCTTGCTCCCTCTTTGGGTTGCCGAGCATCCCTATGCTGAATGCATAGGTCCCTTGTGTTGTTGGGTTGTTTGGGGATATTTTCCTTTCTTTTTCGTTTTTTGGAAAGCAGGATTTTGGTGACCTTTGACTCGCCCCAGGTTGACCTCCTCCTACCTCTTCCCTAATTCTGTTTACTTAGGGAACCTGTTGAGAGGTGTCCAATTATCCCTCCCACTTGCATTTCGCTCCTTGAAATGTTGTCTCAAGAAATCTCCTCTTTTCTTTTTTCGCTCCCTTCCAACCCTTTTTTTAAAAACCAAACATTGAGTTTAAGCTACTCTTTTGAAAATCTAATAAAAGTATTTTTTGGAAGGAACAAAATCAGAAGCTGGCCAGAATCCTATTGTTCATTCCGATCAGAGTAGACTCTTTGCTCTTTGAATCAATGGGATTTGCCTATCTTTGGATACATCCTTCAGTGATGGGGTCCATCAGTTTACCGAGGATTAATCGATTATTATTATTATTATTATTATTATTATTATTATTATTATTATTAGAAACACAACGAGATGAGTCCACAGCAGAAATGCTGCTGGTTGTTGTATTGGATCAAACATCAAACATTTCCCAATTATTATTATTACAATTACAATTATTATTATTATTATAGATTGCACTCGGGGACATCTCTTCCTCTTTGATGCCTCCTGAAACAATACAATAGGTATGAGTGCTTACTCATAGGAGTAAGTCACACTAAGTGCTGGATTAATCAATGTTTACAATTATTATTCATAATAATAATACAGATTGCACTTGGGGACATCTCTTCCCCTTTGAGTATGAGTGCTTACTCATAGGAGTAAATCACACTAAGTGCTGGATTAATCTATTATTATTATTATTATTATTATTATTATTATTATTATTATTATTATTATAGATTGCACTCAGGGACGTCTCTTCCTCTTTGATGCCTCCTGAAACAATACATAGGTATTAGTGCTTACTCATAGGAATAAGTCACACTAAGTGCTGGATTAATTGATGTTTATCATTAATAATAATAATAATAATAATAATAATACAGATTGCACTTGGGGACATCTCTTCCCCTTTGAATATGAGTGCTTATTCATAGGAGTAAGTCACACTAAGTGCTGGATTAATCAATTATTATTATTATTATTAATAATAATAATAATAATAATAATAATAATACAAATTGCACTCAGGGACATCTCTTCCCCTTTGAGTATGAGTGCTCACTCATAGGAGTAAGTCACACTGAGTGCTGCATTATTCTATTTTTTCTCTCTCTTTCCAAAATATTGTAGCACTACAAAACCACAATCTGGCAGCCAGAAGCTAGGTAGATTTACACAAGACTCATTGAGGACAATGAGGCTGACCCCCGCCCCCACCCCCATGAGTCTGCACAGAATTGTCACTTTCTATGTCTCAGTGATATGGAATTGTGGGAGTTGTAGTTCAATTGTGGGAGTTGTAGCCTTCTCTGCCAAAAAAAATGCAGGTGCTGCACGAAATTATGATCCCGTAGCATTGCGCCATGGTAGTGAGTGATGTCAAACAGCATTCATTCCACAGTGTAATTCAGGCAACGGCAAACTTCAGCCCTCCAGGTATTTTGGACTTCAGCTCCCACAATTCCTAACAGCCAGAATTATGGGAGCTGGAGTCCAAAACACCTGGAGGGCTGAAGTTTGCACATACCTGTTGTAGATGCACTCCAAGCTTATTTTGTGTGAATGAATTGCTCTGAATTAAATAGTGCTAAAGAAAGGACCAGAAAGAGGGGGAAAAGGTGGGATTCCTATAGACAGGAAAAACCTTTCAGTAGGGTGTGATGTTTGTTACCGAAGCCCTTGGGGTTATTTGAACTATCCAAATGATCCCAGACTTTCAGCCATCAATTCCTGGCACCGGCTGCAACGTTTTCTTCCCGTCCCAAGTAGGATTCTTTTTATTTATTTATTTACTGTATTTGTATACTACCCCTCCCTCAGGCGACTCAGGGTGGTTTACAATAGCAATGATTCGATACCCAAAACCGCCATAAAACATTTTTCACACATAAGAAAAAAAGATCCCCCATTCATTCCTCTGATGGTTTATTTGGCCCTTTCCACACAGCTGTATTAAACCCACATTGAACTGGATTATATGGTAGTGTGGACTCCAACGACCCAGTTCAAAGCAGATATTGTGGGTTTATCTGCCTTGATATTCTGGGTTATATGACTGTGTGGAAGGGCCCTAAGAGTGACAGCACATCAGTGAAATGTCACTTTCGGAAGATAATCCTTTCTAAGGAAGAGAAAGGAGGGGAAAGTTTGCCTATCCTTCCTATTATATTGCATCTGGGATTGTTGTAGTCCAGATGCAAGGTGGAGGAGTTGTCTTGGCCAGATTTCCTTGTGCTTTGTTTTCCTCTGAGGCTGAGAGAATGTCCCTTGCCAAGGTTGCCATGTGAGTTTCCATGGCTGAGCGAGGAACCCATACTGTAAGCCTAATAATCCAAGGTAATGGTTTCCCCTTGGCATTAAGTCTAGTTGAGTCTGACTCTGGGGGGTGGCGCTCATCTCTATTTCTAAGCCGATGAGCCGGCGTTATCCATAGACATCTCCAAGGTCATGTGGCTGGCATGACTGCATGGAGCACCATTAACTTCCTGCAGAAGCAGTACCTATTGATCTACTCACATTTTGCATGTATTGAACTGCTAGGTTGGCAGAAGCTGGACCTAACAATGGGAGCTCACCCTGCTCCCCAGAGGCGAACTGCCAGTTTAACCTGCTGCACCACCAAGGGGCCCTACTACTACTACTACTACTACTACTACTAATAATAATAATAATAATAATAATAATTGTTTTTTTTTACTCGCCTCTCCTTGTGGCTTGAGAGTGGGTTACAACATAGTCAAAAACACATATTCCTTGTAAACATTATATAGAATACATGTATTATCAGATATTAGGGAGCTCCCGGTGGAGCAGTGGGTTAAAGCGCTGAGCTGCTGAGCTTGTTGACCAAAAGGTCGCAGGGAGTGGTGTGAGCTTCCGCTGTCAGCCCCAGCTTCTAGCAGTTCAAAGACAGGCAAATGTGAGTAGATCAATAGGTACCGCTCCAGCGGGAAGGTAACGGCGATCCATGCAGTCATGCTGGCCACATGACCTTGGAGGTGTCTAAGGACAGCGCCAGCTCTTCGGCTTAGAAATGGAGATGAGCACCACACCCCACAGTCGGACACGACTGGACTTAATGTCAGGGGAAAACCTTTACTTATCACATATTTATATACATACATATCAGAACACGCAGAACAAAGATTAAAACACAGGACATGAGTTTAAAATTCATGATTAGGATTGCCATAAGTCAGAAATGACTGGAAGGCACACAATAACAACAATGTTTATCTTGACTTGAAACGAGCGCTAATGCAGGATAAAAAAGTATAATTGGCTTTGTTGCTGCAGCATCACACTTCTGGCTCAGGTGGAAATTGTGATGAGCCATTAAGGCAGAAGCAACTTGAAGGCACAAAACAACAAGGATACAAATGCTGTTGTCGTCTATACATTGTTGGACTACGAGTCCCACCAGCTCATTGTCAGTGATGACAAATGCTGGGAGTTATAGACAGAGAGAGCTGTACAGTTGCCATTCGAACTCATTCTATCACATCCCTGTAATGTTCTATCCCAGTTCCCAAAGGCAGACGCCCCTCCCACTTCGCTTGCGGCTTGCAGTATTTCTCAATGCCTTAAGTAAGCTTGCATTGTGTCGGCAAGGCGAGGCATTGTGCGTGTGAGTGTGTGTATGTGTGTTGCATGTGCATGTGTTTAACCATCTTGTTTGCGGTGCTCCTCCGGCAGCAGATGAAAGTTTGGTGTTGTTTAGCTTGCGCTCCTTGATTGCTGCCTGTTGAAGTAATTGCATCGCAATGGCTCTGAGGTGGAATCAATTTCCCCAAATTGAGATTTTAATGGGAAGCTTGGAAAGGGCTTTATGTCATGTGGTTTAAGGAGGCTCAGGGTTGCATTTATTCTATAACCAGGTCTTTCTCCCATGAGTTACATACACCCCCAACGCTTGCAAAAACCCAGGGAAAGCACTGCCATCTGTTGGTAAAACCAATACAGCATGTGCCTTATGTTAAGAGAGCACAGACAATGGGTTGCTGTGAGTTTTCCGAGCTGTCTGGCCATGTTCCAGAAGCATTCTCTCCTGACGTTTTGCCCATATCTATGGTAGTTGTGAAGTCTATTGGAAACTAGGCAAGTTTCCTGTCCCCTGGAATAGCAGATACTAGTGTTGTGTAAAAGTATTGTTAGTCCTCGTAAGTCAGATCAAATTCGTTAAATTCGTACTTACGATGCAATATCTGACATGTGGGCGTGGCCCATGCCAAAAACTTAAGAATCAAAGTTTTTGGTTCTGTGGGTGGGAGAAAAAACTTGTCTGTTTGAAGCAAGTGTGAATGTTGCAATTGGCCAGCCTGATTAGCAATGAACAGCCTTGCAGCTTCAAAGCCTGGCTGCTTACTGTCTGGGGGAATTCTTTGTTGGAACTTGGAACATGGCCATACACTGGGCAGCTCAACCCATTACGCAAAGTAAGCATTGATTTTGCCCAGGGGCACTCTTGAGGCACTCTTGGGGGAAAACAGACCTTGACATATGCGAGTTGTAGTTACTGGGATGTACAGTTCACCTACAATCAAAGAGCATTCTGAACTCCACCAATGATGGAATTGAACCAAATATGGAGGACTAATGATACTTTTGCACAGCCCTAGTTTCTACTACTCCAGGGGACAGGAACACAATCCAAAATGACCTGAAC